AACAGCAACAACAACTTTTTATTGTGAATGGGATAAAAGCACTGAACTGCTAAATGCAAAGTTGCCAGTTCAAACCCATAGCCACTTCTCAGGAGAAAGTTGAGGCTTTCCGCTTCAGGAAAGATTTGCAGCCTCAGATACTTTATACAGGGTCACTATGAGACAGAAGGGACTTGAAGACAGTTGGTTTTCCAGAGCAGATCATTAGTTTTCCATGCCACAATGCAGACACGTTTTATTTCGTTGATTGCAGTCTCTACAATATAACATCATCATCCCACTTCCTCCCCGTGTTTCCTGTTTCCATTCCTTCTTCTTAGATGGTTGATTATTCAAAGAAGGTACGTATCTCCTCTCACCAGAGTGCCTTAAGAAAGAATTACACAGCACAAAACATCAACAGTGCTGAGATGGGGACACTCTGGTTTATCTCTTCACCTTCCTAGTTCAGCCTTTGAAAGTAACTGCTTATTTTGTTTTAGTTCCCCCATTTGGGTTATGAGCCCCCTCCCTGCTAACCCACAAAGAACTGAGCAGCAATTCAGCAGAGAAAGAGGAGCACAGATTCTTGAGTTGGATGTCCTGTGTGATTTGTTGACCTCAGTCTTGCCACCTTTACAATGGGCATAAAAACAGGACCCACTTCTTGAAGTTGTTTTAAAGACTGAATTGATGTCCACAGACTGCTTAGAATGCGTACCATGAAGCATTCAGTTTGCATTGGTTATCATGATTATTTATTGTCGTATCCCTCTCCCTGCATTGTGCTAACCATGCAAGGTTGATGGTTCAAACTCACCAGCCTCTTTGCCGGAGAAAAGAGAAGCTGTCTGCTCTGTAAAGAAACGCAGTCTCTGAGATCATGTGTAGTTTCGCTGTTAATCAGAAATTGACCGGATGGCAGTGGTCTTGGTGAGCCCTCTCCCTGGCTAGTGCAGAAACTGAGCAAATATTTACCAAACGAATGAATTTCAGGCCTCTTTTCTCTTGGGACCTGTGTCTCTTTGCTTCTCAACCAGAGGTGTCAGAATGCTTTTCCAAACTCCGTATCCCATGGGGGCATGGTGAGAATGAATAGAACTGACCTAAAGTAATTCCGTTAGAAACCTGAGATGCTGAGAGAAGGGTTTTTAGTAAGTCCCCTGCCTGTTCAAACCCTTTTTTTTTTTTTTTTTTTTAATCATTGTTCCCAATCATTACTGCCCTGAATAACTTTTCCCCTGTGCTCCTGGAATTTATAGGCTAAGGTTTTAGTGCCACATTGTTGATTTAAACCTAGGACAAGAAGACAAGAGAGGAGGAGTCCCAGAGGGCCACCATGATCTCTCATTCCTTAAAAGAATGTAACTTTAAGACAAAGCTTTCTGAAACATTGTTTATTGATATTGTTTGGAGCAATCACATCTCAAGATATAAGGACACACTGTATCCCCGGATGAGAGGGTCATAAACTCTAAGGAAAGAATGTAACAAGAAGACAGATTGATACCCAGAGGGTGTAAGAGTTCTGATTATATGGGGGAGGCTTAGGCAGTCTTTCAGAGAAGGAGTTTCTCTACCTTCTAGATCTGTCAATAGACATATTTTGATTCTCATCCCATCTCTGATATTGGCTCCAGCGGACTGACGGTCAGACTTTGGTCCAGTAACAGTGCTGAGTACAGAAAGAGATGGCTACTTCAGTGGCATGACCCATTTGAGCAAACTCTCAGTGTAAAATTGTTGCTGCTGTCTGCCAGCTCCAGGGGGGGCAGAGTTGCTCCAATAAAAGTGTAGTGAATTAAATGACCTAAGTTCACTGTCCCCATCCTAAAGCAGGCTACTTCAACCCCAGATCTGCCTTCTAATTCCCTGGGTGATCTCTGGCAGAAGACTCCACATCATGTGTCATCTGTATAACATGGGGCAACTGCAACCCATTTTACAAGGACGCCCTAAGAAAACCAGGAGGTAACGTAGCATGCAAGTTTCCTTACCCAAGGTCGCTGTGGTGGCCAGCTCTTAGGTGCTGGCAAATGTCCACAGGAAGACAGAGCCCTGAAATGACTGCTTCCCTGGAGCAGCGTGCAAAGTCCTCTCCCTTCCGTTTTCTTGTTTAATTGCAGGCGACTTGTATTCTCAATGAAACCACTGAGCCTAAAAGAACAGAAGAGTTTTGTCCAAGGTCAATAGTGGGTGAAGGGCTGGCATCTGGGGAGATGTGAATCCAAGACCAACCTCTACCTTGCTTCTCAGATTTGCTCTCTTGAATGGTTGTCCCTCTCCTTACTCACAGGTTAGTTTTAAAACAGACAAATCTGTTATTCTTAAAACTGTGTCTCTACTTACCCTCACCCAGACAGGTGTCTTAAGAATTACTTTCACTTAAACTTATTCCATTTTATTTTCTTCTTCCTACCATCTTGGGGAGGGGGGTCAGGGGCAGGTGGAGGGGCTCGAATCTACCTCTATTCCTTCCTTAAATTTAAGTAGGGGCTGATGTGGTGCTAACTACAGATTTCGGTGGTTCATGCCCACCAGCCGCTCCTCGTTCCTCGGAAACTCCATACAGGATCTCTGTGGGTCAGAATCTAAGCACTTTAACAAGAACAAGGGGTAAAGAGAAGTAGATAAAACACACATTTGTTAGTTAAACAGAAATTTTTCATGTAACAATTTTCTCCCTTTTTGGGAGTGGGGCAGGGAGGAATATTTGTCCTTGGTAAAGATCGGGAGAGGTTGAGCTTTCTTTTTTTGATTTTGGAAAAGGGGTGCGTTCCTGGGGTCCCTTTTAAAAGGCCCTCCCCTCATTTCCGGCCGCCGCCGACAGCCTTGGCTGGGCGCCTGGATCCCGTTGCTATGACGACCGGAAGAGGCGGTGGCGGCTGCGAGCGATGCTGAGGAGAGATGGAGGCTAGTGGGGGTGGGGGGGTGGCTTTGAAATGGGGGTGGGGTAGGGATCAGGGACCTGGGATGCGGATGAGACTGGGGTTTGGCATGTCCTTTATCTCTGACCCCCTTCATTCACGGAGCCTGGTCTCTCTTGCGTTATTTTTCTCCATGGCACCTTCCAAACCTCTCTCTGTCTCTCCTTCTCTGGGTCTCAATCTCTCTCCATCTGTGTCTCTTTCTGGGTCTCCCCTCTTCCTTCTGCAATCTGTCTCTCTGTCTCCAGGCACCTTCTGTCACCCAGAGCCTGCTCCCCTAAACCTCCTCTTTCCTCAGTTACTCTCCTGTTCTCTGTCTCTGGGTATCTTTTTTTCCCTCTCTAAAGCATCATCCTTCTTTTTAGAAGACCTTTTCCCTTTCCCCAATAGCTCGCTCTCCTTTCTCGATTGATTTCTTTCCATCCCCACATCTTTCTCCCCCAGCCTCTTTCGGTCTGTCTCTCCCCATCTGTCTCTCCTCCCCACCCCCTCTGGATGACTCTCTCCCCGTCTTCTTCCCTTCTGTCACCCACATTCTGGAACACCCCCCCCATCCTTCATTTCACCCTCACTTTTCCCCCAGTCTCTTGGTCTCTGTCCCCTGCCCTATCTAGATATTTCTCACGGTGTGTGTGTCTCCAACTTCCTTGTGGTACCAGTCGCTGCTTCCCCCAAATTTCTCCCTCCCTCTATTTCTGTTTCCCAGTCTCTGAGTCTCTCCGTTCCTCCTGGTCTTTCTCCCTCTTCTCTCCGGGTCTCTTTTTCCCCTCAGCTTCCTCCAACCATCCAGACCCTGCCTCCCCCAGTCCTCTCCCTTCCCCCCATCCATCTCCTCTCAGTGGCTCCCTTCCCCCTCCCTCCCTCCTCCCTCCCGCTCTCGTCCTCCAGCTCCGCACTTTACCCAGCGACACGAGAACCAAATTGTCTCCTCACCTTTTTTTTTTTTCCCCCCATCCCGACCCCCACTCCCTTGGGACCCGAGCTCAGAGCTGCCCCCAGCTCACCCTCCCACCTCGACACCCCAACACCCTCCCCCTTCTGCGTACGCCTCCTCATCTCCACCCCCCTCAACCAGGTCGGACTTCTGGGTCCCTTGCTGCTGGGGGAGGGGGCGCAGCGAAAATATTGGGGGGCCAAAAGGGTGTTTCCGAGGGGGGGGTGCCGACCGGGGGGCTCACCCTCCCCTTCCCAGTGCTTCGGAGATTTGACCTATCATTAACTGAGGTGAGACAGACCTTTTTCTTCATCGGAGGTGGGTGGATGTAGGAGTAAGGTTCTGACCCCCCTTCATTCTGGAGAATGGGGCTGCCTTTGAGCTTCTCTAGGTCCCTTTCAGATAGAAAGGGGATAGTGACCCCCCTCACCTCAAAAGATTTAGAATTGGGGGTCCCCTACTCTTTCTTGCTATGCTTCTGCGGACTTGAAGAGTCCCCCTCAAAGATAAACAGACAGCCCCCCAAATCAACAAGCTGCAAAGATCTTCAAATCAAAATATGCAGAATTTCCCTCCTTAAATACTCCTTTGCCCTCTCACCCTGGGTTGTGGGGGGCCCAGCAGGGGTAAGGAGTACACTCTGGGGTCACAGGCTCACCCCAACATGAGCCGGAATGTGCTAAGACAGTGGAGGTGAAGGTGCTGGTGGTGATGGGGTGCACATAGAGCAAGAAAAAGGCCCGGGATCTAGAGAGGAGGAATCTCAGCTTGTGGAGAGGAAAGAGGGCCGGGCAGAGGGGGACAGGGACTAGGGGGGCATGCGAGGGTCCTGAGTGTTGACCAGGGGTAGCCTGTGGTAAGGGGAGTATGTTAGTGGGGGAGGGAAGGCAACGTGTGGGCCAGTTAGGCCCTGTTGCCATGGGGACACCCCCTCCAGACAACCTTTCCCAACAGCCCCTCCTGGGACCAGACCCAGGCAGGGCCAGCTGATGGGGTGGGGTGGAGGGGCAGTGGAGGCAGGAATGAAACTGAGGGGGCCAAGGTCACCCTGTGCTGGGACCCAAGATTTCTCCTTCTTTCTCTTCAGAAGGTTTCAATGTTCTTAACTCTAGGATGCTCTGGGGGGAAGAAGTCTAAGGCAGAGAGTGGTGTTGGCAGGCATGTACGGGACAGGTGCGGAGAGGGAGGGCTGGGGGGGCCATGGAAAAAGGCAGGGTTGGGGGTGTGGTGCCCACGGAAAGAGGCAATGAATGGGGGGCAGAGTGGGAAATGATCCTTAACTGGGAAGAGATTTGTAGTCTTGTGGGTGATGTTTCTCTGAGGGGCACAATTCCTGGGGGCTCCTTCTACATTTTGAAGACGTTAGATGCTACGTTGTCTGTTCCGGCACAGATGAACTAGTGGGGAGAGGGCAGAAGTGGGGGTGTTCCCAAGGAAGGAAGTCCGTGGGGGCCATGGAGGGGGTTTTCCTGAGGAGAGGAGATGCTGTGAGCTAGAGTGGGTGGAGGAAGCTGTAAGAGTAAAGGGACCCTTTCGGATTTAACAGGAGGGAGGGTTGGTTCTCAGTGAGGTGGAGAGAGAGTGGGGTTGAACGGTGCTGTTCCTGAACTGGCAGGTGAGCTGGGGGGCAGGATCTAAATCTGAAGGGGGTGCTGTGTGTGTTGAAGGGGATTTGGAGGCAGTGGGAACTGGAAGAAAGGCAGAAAAGTGTGTGTGGGGGGGGTGAGAACCTACTGGGTATTTTCTTGGTTAGAAGTGAGAGTTTAGGTCTGAGATGGGGAGATTTCTGAATGGAGAGGTATTTGGGGGTCTGCAGGAAAAGAGCCTTAAGAATAGGAGGCTGTTTTTTCTTCACGGAGAAGGAAGTACTGTTCTGCTGGGGTTTTCTAAGTTTCAGAGATAGTCAGGGTACGATTCGGAAGCCTTGTAGGGGATTCTCCTTGGGTAGAAGACGTAGTAGGGGATGGAGGAGGGACGGTAGGAGAGGAGACAGTGGGGGCGCTTGGAGAGAATGTGGTAGAAATAGAGGCATTCTTCTCAATCAGTGGCTCTGATGTTGGCTGCGCATTTGAATCCCCTGGAGAGCTTTTAAAACCCTAAATGTTCAGGCCACACCCCAGGCCAATTAAATCAGAATTTCTCAGGTGGGATGTGGGGCAATCGGCATTTCTTATTTATTCTGTTCGAATTACAAAGCAGTTGCCTGTGAAGAAGTCAATTCTGGTTTGTGGAGACCCTATATAGAACTGTGCTCCATAGAGTTTTCAGGGCTGATTTCTATTTTATTTAGTTCTTTCTTTTTTTGCAAAGAGCTTGTCAGACCTTTTTCTCCTAAGGTACTTCTGGGTGGATTAGAACATCCAACCTTTCATTTAGCAGCTGAATGTGTTAACCTGAGAGCATAGGGGTCAAAGTGAGGGCCAGGGGTCCCAAGCCTGATAAATGGTCAGATGCTGTTGTTATTGCTGTATGTAATGAAGTCCACTCTGACCCATAGTGACCCTGTGTGACAGTGTAGAACTGCCCCACAGGGTTTCCTAGACTTGTCATCTTTATGGAAGCAGATTAGTAGGTCTTTGTCCTGCAGAGGCACTGAGTGGGTTTGAACTGCTGACTTTTTGGTTAGCGGCCAAGCGCTTCACTGTTGCACCACCAGAGACACTTCATGGTGGTGGTAGTACCATGGTTATTCTGAACTGTGTGAAGAGTGAGATAACTGTTCCCCCCACCTCTTTAAGTAGAGGACAGAGGGGGAGCCCTGGTGACCCATTGGGTTAAGCGTTCGCCTGCCAACCACAAGGTCAGTGGTTCCAACTTACCATCTGCTCCGTGGGAGAAGACCTAGGCAGTCTGCTTCTGTAATGCTTTACGGCCTCAGAAACCCTAAGAAGCAGTTTAGCTCTGTCCCATAGGGGTGCGGTGGCTGGCAGTGGGTTTAAGGAGAGGACGTAGAAGTAATTGTAGGGGAAAAATAGAAGCCCAAGGGCCCAGCCCTCTTTCTCCGTACGTGTCCAGTACCTGTGTCCACCACTCTTTCTTAGGCTTCTTACCCCAGAATCTCTTAGAGTTAAGAGATTCCAGGGACAGGAAGAAGAAGGGAAAAAACCAAGGCTCCCAGCTTGGGGTGACCTTGGCCTCCTCACTGCACATACAGTGGGGTGGAGGAACAAGGATGTGGTGGTGGTGGGGGATTCCTCAATTATGTAGGTACCTGAGGCAAAGTTGGGGAGACTGGGACAGCTGTTTCATGAGTTGAGGATATAGTCAATGAAGAGGTGGGACTTAAGGGCGGAAATTTTTGAGAGAATGGGTCTTCTTGTGGGGTTCCTTGAGGGAGGCATTGGAGGCTGGAGTGAGAATGGCTACCCAGATTCTATGAGCAGTGGAGTTGGGGGTGGGGGGTGGATAGAAAGACTAATAAGAGTGTCCCATGGGGCATATTGGGGAGACTCTGAATGGGATTAAGAGCCCTGGTGGGTTAGACACTGAGCTGCTTGCTAACCCTGGGGTGGGAAGTTCAAGCCCACCAGCAGCTCTGTAGAAGATGGGGTTGCTTGCTTCCTTAAAGAGCTGCAGTCTCAGAAACTCTCTAAATGGGTCATTTAGTGGGGATTGACTTGACACTGGTGAGTTCGGCTTGGGTTTGGGGGCACTGTGAGTTAAGCGTTGGGCTGCTAACTCCAAGGTGGGAATTTTAAACCCAGTGGAGAAAGATGAGGCTCTCTGCTCCTGTAGAGATTTATCTCTGGGAAACCCTATGTAAGGTCACTATGAATCCCATGACACTAGGTTTGATTTTTAGGTTGGAGTTGGTGGGGAGACTATTATGGCCAGAGGAGAGACGTTAGAGAAGATTTCTTTAGAGAAAGAGGAGGGGGCGCAGTTTGTTGAACAGAGGAAATAGATTTTTGGCGGTGGGAATGGGGGAGGTAGGTCTACCTTCTTGCCTAACCCCTGTATCTCGCTCCCTGGACCCCACCAGCCGGAGACCATGGCCGTCCTCTGACCCCCTTCCCGGGCAACAGCCGCCTCCTCCACGCCGCCCCCTCCCCAGCCCCGCAGGCCCCGGCCCCGGGGCCCCCTCTTCTGCCTGCGCTGTGACCCCCCCCAGCCGCCGGCACGGCCCCACCCCCGCTGCCCCGGTGGTGGCCCACGGCCCCCCGGCTGCCCGTGGTCAAGCTGGAGTCGCTGAAACGCTGGAACGAAGAGCGAGGTCTGTGGTGCGAGAAGGGGGTGCAAGTGCTGCTGACCACCGTGGGCGCCTTCGCAGCCTTCGGGCTCATGACCATCGCCATCAGCACCGACTACTGGCTGTACACGCGCGCCTTCATCTGTAACACCACCAACCTCACGGCCGGCGACGACGGGCCCCCCCACCGCGGGCCAGGGGGCGCCTCGGAGAAGAAGGACCCCGGTGGCCTCACCCATTCGGGCCTCTGGAGGATCTGCTGTCTGGAAGGTAGGGGGGCGGGCAGGGGGCGGGCGTCTCCAGGCTTCCTGGGGCTTAGGAGCTGCTCACTCAGGCCCCTGATGCTTTTCCTTCCTCTCAGCCCCCCATCCACGCCCCTCAGAGCTTTCCTTTACCTCCATTTACTCTCTTCCCCCTCCTCTGCCTCAGAGTCCCCCATTCACGCTCCTCAGAGCCCCTCATTTACTCCCAACCCTTCTCCCTACCTCCCCCTCTTCTGCCTCAGAGCCCCCATTCATGCCCCTCAAAGCCCCCTATTTATGCCCCTCAGAGCCCCCCATTAACGCTTCTTAGAGCCCCCCATTCATGTCCCTCAGAACCCCCATTCATGCTTCAACCCTTCTCCCTTCCTCCTCTGGCTCTCCTTTTTGGGTCTTCTGCCTCAGAGCCCCCCATTAACGCTCCTTAGAGCCCCCCATTCATGTCCCTCAGAACCCCCATTCATGCTTCAACCCTTCTCCCCTCCTCTCCTGGCTCTTCTTTTGGGGTCCTCTGCCTCAGAGCCCCCCACTCACGCCCCGTGCCTTGTGTCTCTGCCCTTGAGGGGGGCATTCTCACATCAGAGCCCTCTGACCTCCACTGCCCTTCATTCGCCCCTTTTCCCCTCTCCATCCAACCCCTTAAATCTCTCTCTTGGCCTTGTTGCACTTGGGGCTCCCTCTGTCTCATTAGAAGGAGCCCTAGTGGCACAGTGCGTTAAGTACTGGACTGCTAACTGGAAGGCCTGTGGTTTGAAGCCTCCAGTGGTTCTGCAGGAGCCTGATGTGGTTGTCTGCTCCTGTACAGACTGACAGCCACAGGAACACCGTGAGGTAATTCCACCTGTACTGCAGAGTTGCTGTGTTCTGCCTCAGTGCACCCCACTACACCTCTGGCCCTTCCTCTTTCTCTTGGACCATTTGTCTTTTGTCATTATTATTAGGGGATGGCACCCTTGCAATCTTCACATGTACAGTTCAATGGCATTAATTATATTCAGCGTGTTCAACCATCACCATTCCAGAATTTTCCCATTACCCTTCACAGAAGTTTGGGTGTCTCCTAAACACTGTGTCTGCCTTTTTGGACTATTTATCTTCAAAACAAAACAAAACAATCTCTTAGGCCCCTTTATTTACTTATTTGGAGTCCTAGTGTGGTGTTGTAGGATAAGCGCAGGACCACAAGGTGGGTTTGAGCCCCAAGGTTGGCAGTTCAAACTTGCCAGTCACTCCTTGGAAACCCTATACAGGGTGACTATGATTTGGAACTGACTTGACAGCACGTAACAACACAAGAACATTTACTTATTTATTAACTTTTTTATTGTGAATTGGGTGAAGGTTTTCAGAGTAGATCAGTTTTCCATTAACAATTCACACACATTTTGTTTTATCTCATTGACTGGGATCCTCACATCCTCCTTGCATTCGTCATTTCTGGTGCCCCTTCTTTAGAACCTAACACTTCTGAACTTTGTGGGTAAATGCTGCCTTTTGATCACTCCTGCCTAGTGTTCTTGTGCCTCTTAGAGACCTGTCTGTTGTTTGGCCTCAGTCCTGGTGTGACGCTGGACTGCTAACCTCAAGGTCAAAGGTTCAAACCCACCAATCGCTCCTCAGAAACCCTATGCAGGGTCACTATGAGTCAAAACTGATTCTAGGAGACACTGAACAACATTGTTTGTCTAGATATTGAGCCTTGGTAGTAAGTTCATTTTCAGACCTTCAAGCTCTATCAGTCTATCCGACCAGTAAACCTCGTCTTTTTAATCATTCTGAGTTTTGTTCCACATTTCACCCTACTCTATCCAGCATCTTTAATGTGGCCCCTTCCAGTGCAGTTGGTAGGGTAGCTGGGCACCATCTAGTTCTTCTGATCTCTGGGAGTTGGAGACTGATGTTGGTGTGGCTCAGGAGTCCATGGATCCATTGTTTCCAAAAATCTTCCATTCCATCACTCTTCTTTCCTCAAGGAGTTTGCACCTTAGCAGGATGCAGAACATTGTCTTTGTGGATTCTGTTACTGCTGATTGACCTTGTTGTCCCCTGAGACCATAGACCATTCATTCTGACCCTATGGAGTCCCTGAATGTCACAAATACTTTAACACTCTGCTGCTAGCCAAAAGGTTGGCAGTTCAAACCTGCCCAAATGTACCGCAGAAGAAAGACCTGGTCATCTTCTTCCATCAGATTGTGGAGTGGATTCTTACTATGTGACAGAATAGAAGTTGCTCCTGGAGTTTCCTAGACTGTAATCTTTAGGGGTGTGGTGCTGTGGCTCAGCACTGGACTGTAAATCACAAGATCGGCAGTTCAAACCCACCAGCTCCTTGGAAACCCTATACAGCATAGCTATGACTCAGAACCGACTCCACAGAATTTAACAACAATCTTTGGGGGGATAAGGAGCCCTGGTGGCATACTGGATCAGGTGTTGGGCTGCTAACAGAAAGGTCCACAGTTTGAACCCACCAGAGGAGAAACAGGAAAGCTGTGGCAGTTTGTACCTGTAAAGATGTCCAGGTTTGGAAACTCTATGGGGACAGTTCTGTTCTGTCCTATGGGTGACTGTGAGTCAGAACTGACTCAACGACAGTGGATTTTTTGGCTTGGAATCTTTAGGGGAGCAGATCGCCAAGTCTTTTCTCCTGTGGAGATAGATGCTGGATGGGTTTGAACCACCCACTTTCCAGTTAGCAGCTAAGCACTGAACCATTACACCACCAGAACTCCTTTCTGTAGGATCATAGCCATGGGTCTTGGAGGCTTGGTGTGGTGCTATAGGGTCAGCATTAAACTGCTAACCAGAAGGTGGTGGTGTTAGTGCTGTGGAGTCAATGCCAACTCATAGCCACCCAGTATAGGGTTTCCAAGGAGCAGCTGGTAGGTTTGAACCACCAACCTTATGGTTCACACCGACCTTTCGGTCCAGCTCATTATCCTGCAGTGCCACACCAGCACTCCATAAGCTCGGCAGTTCAAACCCACCAGCTGCTCCTCAGAATTCCTACACGGGGTTTCTATGAGTTGGAACCGATTTGATGACAACTTAGTAACAGTCACCATGGAACACTGGAGTAGCTCCACTTTGCACACATAGGATCGCGGTGAATGAGAATCATCAGTTCAATGACGACTAACTCCAACATCCTGATCCTACCCCTCTGAGTCCCTACAACCACCGTCTTCTTCATTCCTGCTTTTCCCCCTCTCTTCAGTCATTCTGTTTTTCAGACATGCTCTAGTTCTCCAAATTATATGCCATCAAGTCAGTTCTGACTCATAGCACGCCTGTAGAGGGTTTCCAAGGATAGGCTGGTGGGTTTGATCCTCCAACCTTGAGGTCAGCAGTCTAGTGCTTTATCTTACAGCACCACAGCATCACTCCCATTGGTTGTCTACCTCAAATTGTGCAATCATTGTCACTATCCTTCTTTAAGTAGTTCCTCCCCCATTAATGTAAGCTCACGGTCTCTAAGTTTCCTCTTTAATATTTTGAGTTCTTTTTGTCAATTTTGGTAACTCTTAAAAGAGCATGCTCAAGGCAGGAATCTTTGTTACTTAAGCTAAAGTATTGTGTGTTTATAAGAAGGTTTCAGGGGATAATTCTGGTTTAAGGTTCAAAAATTATCTCAGGGCAATAGTTTTATGGGTTCATCCAGCCTCCATGGATCCATAAAGTCTGGATTCCATGATAACTTAAAATTCTGTTTTGTATTTTCCCTCCTTTTGATCAGGATTCTTCCATAGACTCTGATCAAGATGTTTAGTAGTGTAGCTGGGCACCATCCAGTTCTTTATCCAGACTCTATGGATTCATAAATCTGGATTCCATGATAAATTAAAATTCTGTTCTGTACTTTCTTCCCTCCCCCGCCCCTTTTGATGAGGATTCTGCCATAGACTCTCTAATGAAGATGTTTAGTAATGTGGCTGGGCACCATCCAGTTCTTCTGTTCTCAGGGGAAAGGGGGCAATTGTTCATGGAGGTAATTAGATTTTTCATTTCTTGATCTGAAGGGTTCTCAGCTCCCCTGACTGACTCTCTTGCCTCAATTTCATTTGTATTTTGTCTTATCCTGTTTCTACCTAGATTCCTGTGTTTCTTTTTAGTCTCAACTTCTCAGGCCCTCGTCTCCCCCTGCTTCTTCTCCCCCATAATCCCAGCTTTGCCGTTTCTTACACCTCTACCATGCAGGCCTTAGACTGGAAAGCAGAAAGCAGGAGTTCCAGTCTTACTGTGTTTCTGACTCGTTGTCTGACTTCTGTCTTTTCACCTCCCTAAGCTTCACAGCCTGTGTCTGCATCATTAGGGAATGGGACTAGCCACTATCAAAGCTCCTTTGCCAAACCCATTGCTGTTAAGTTGCTTTTGACTGGTAATGACCCTGTGTTGTTGTTAAGTGCTGTTGAGTTGGTTCTGACCCATAGCGATCTTGTATAGGGTTTGTGAGGAGTGACTGGTGAGTTTGAACCACAGATCTTGCAGTTCAAACCAACTTTGCTGTCCAGCGCATAAACCCACAGTGCCACACTAGAACTCAATGACCCTACGTTGTTGTTGTTAAGTGCCGTCGAGTCGATTCCAACCCATAGTGACCCTATAGGACACAGTAAAATTGCCCAGAGGGGTTCCAAGGCTGAAAACTTTATGGAAGCAGACTGAAACATCTTTCTCCCATGGAGAGGCTGGTGGGCTTGAACTGCTGGTCCTTTGGTTAGCGAGCAAGTGCATAGTCACTGCGCCACCAGGGCTCCTTCCTCTAGCACCAAACTGAAAGTCCCTCGTGTCTCGTTTCAAAACAAAAGAAAAAGTTTTGTCATTGAGTCAATCTGCTCCATAGTTTTTTCAAGCCTGGGACTTACTGAGAAGATCACCAGACCTTTCTCCTGAGAGCCCTCTGGTGGGGTCAGACTACTTGTTATTGTTAGGTGCCATCAAGTCCTTTCTGACTCATAACGACCCTGTGTACAATAGAACGAAACACCACCCGGTCCTGCGCCATTC